TTGTCTGTCCTGTGCTCATGTTGATACGACTGAGCCAAACCTACAGGAAGCCCAGACAGATTCAGATACCACTTGCCACCGATTTTATCCATGGCCGGGAAATTGAAGCACGGTGGTCTAACTATTGTGCCACCACTCTACACACACAACTTTCTAACTGTGTGCCACAGGGCAAGATGTTAACTTCCTTTGCTTGGTATACAGGAGGTCGTGGAGTTCGATCCCAACCCTGACACTTCTATTTTTGGAGTTTGCATGTTCTCTCCGTGGTCGCGTGGATTTCTTCAGGTCCTTCGGATTTTCCCTCCACATTTAGAAACACGCGTTTAGAGTACCAGGCTGCTACAACTGTCCACGTGATAAGCCACTTCGTTGAGCTATCATTTGTGGCCAAGTCACTTCTGAAAAAGAGCTTCATAGCTCAGTGGGCCTAACCTGGTTAACTAAAAATAGTTTAGTTTTAGTATAGCATCACACTTTTTAAGGTCTTACTGAATACGGACTATTCCTTCAGATAGACATGTGACTCTTCTATATTTGAAGCTTTCGTGACTGCAAGGATCCATACTCTTTGGTTCTATTCGGTAAAGTCACGTAGGTAAAAAATAAAACAACATTACTCTCACACAGCTTAAAGGTCGCGGTCTGAGCTTGGCTGTGTTTCACTCCAGCGCTATCCTCGAGACAGTCTGGTCCCTTCACCTGATGAAGGCCGCTTGTGTTGTGGCCGAAACGTCGTGATTTTTGTTGTTTTATTTTTTTTACCTACGTGACTTTACCGAATAGAACCAAAGAACATGTGACTCTATCTATTTGTAAATTATTAACACGTGATGACTTTAATCGGAAGAATTGTGTCCCGATTCATATCAAAGATAAGTGATTGTAGTATTTACACATAAGGCACCAACTTCCTATCCCCAACTGACAGTGATGCCACAACATTAATTTAAACTTTCATGTCTACTCCAATGCACCACCCATGTTGCTACGATCCATTATTCCATATACAACTCGAAAGCCTGTTCACTACGCATGCTGGCATACCCCATCTCAATATAAGCTGATTGCTAACAATTACGTTGTTCCTGCAGCACAAATGCATTTTGCCATCACGAGCAGCGAAGGTGCGTCTCGCTTCACGCGGAACGGCGACTGGCTCGTTTTGTTCATGTGGTGCGGTCTATTCTGCCATGGTGTCATAGTTGGCGCACAGCCAGAGGTCACTGGGTTCATTCTCCCAATGCAGCAGTTGAAACAATGGCCCAAGCTTATTAAATCCCTTCCCACCACCTATATCTGCCCGACAGTGTTGTGGGGACACCACGGCTGGTGGATATCGGCAGATTGCACGTGGCGTAGTTAAGTGTGGGTCATCTCACTGCTTTAGAAGGTGCTTTTCCAGCTTGGAAGAGTAGGTGAAATATCCTCTAGCTCCATATATCATTATTATTTTTATATTGGCACGGGTGAAACCCCATTGGGCAATGCACATTTCTGATGGGAACCTGGTTACCTGGCAGAAAAAATAATAATAATCCAAAAACAAATGTACGTGGTAAAGTTTCGAAAGGCAAGGTCTTACTGCAATACGGTACAACCAGCTAAAAAAAAACAAGGCTGGTATAACGCATCACTTACACAAAGTATTGGGTGCAAAACAGCACCGAGGTAGGTGTGATTGTGAAAAAAAAACACTTGTACAACTTCAAATCTGCAAAGCAGAGCGATCAATTGCGTGTACTCTTGAAAGAAAATGAGATCCAAAAGTCATTTAAAAGTAGAACAAGGATGGTAAGCTTTTGATCCCGAACATTTTCGCCCAGTTATTCCAGAGATTGGCGGCCACTGAAACAGAAGGAATTTAAATCAAGTTTTGTTCTCACATCGTAGGCATCATAGGGGACCTTGAGCAGGGACAGAGAGGAGCTTCTAATAATACGGAAATGTACCTGGCGGATTAAATGATTCAGAAGACATTTTGCAATGCTTTTTTCGTGATGCTTCGAGGGTGGAGATAGCCAAATGCCTTTCCCCTGCATAGATCAGGGTGAGAGGTTGCTTCGAGTTCAAATAAAGTTCTCCGCGATGGCCTCTGTAGGGGGCATTGAGGGCAAAGCAGAGTGCATGGAGGGACAACGGAACCCGTGTGTCTATCTCTCTGCCTACATCGAGCCTGTTAAATACCATCTCAAGTCTAGGGGGCCGTCCATAAATGACGTCACGCGATTTTGGACGATTTTTGACCCCCCCCCCCCCCCTCATCACACGGCGTCACAAAAAGTCAGACCCCCCCCTTCAAATATGACGTCACAAAGCTCTGCCCCCCCCCCCCAAAAAAAAAATCATGCTTTCAACTATTGCCATTGTAGTGCGTATTTAATGTGGCGCTGCACTCCGATGTTGTAGGAGACAACATTTATTAAAAAGTCAATTCAATTAAGTAGAACGTGTTGTCTATATTTATTTAAAGTTGCGCATTTTGATGTGACGTCATATTTCTCAACCCCCCCCCCCCTCGTCACACATCGTCACAAATGTCCCCCCCCCCAGATGCGTGACGTCATTTATGGACGGCCCCTAAGACGGAGAGCATAGTGGCTCTAACGATATTCAGTTGAAGTCGGGGTGGCATGCAGAAAAGTATCTTTCCGTACACGAGGCAAATGTTTATCCTTGTGTAGAGGAGTAATATGGGCACGTGACGTCATGCACGCTGTCCAGTGCGATGACGTCATGTGACGTGACGTCATCGCACCATGGGATAGAGAGCGGTTGGAAGAGACAGCCAGGGGTGGAGCTCAGGGAGTCTGGAGAGAAGACGGCTGTAGTCGTAGAAGGTGCTACTCTCCCCGGTCGGTCGGTGTTGGCTGAACCCCCGATCCGACTCGTGGGAGAGAGCCCTGGAGCTGGCCGAGCTAGGGACAGACAGAGCTGAGGGTCCGGGTGAAGGACCCAGTGTAGGGCACCTGCCTCTGGTGAAGTCGTCCAAATCCTTCTAAACCCTTCATAATAAACCGGCGCAAGCCCTTACTGAAGACCTGCCTCCGTGTCGTCAAATGCACCTCAAAAATTGTATTTTAAACAACCTTGATCGATACGTGCAACGAAAGATATCTTGTGATTGAGGATTACGCCTGGGTATTTAAACTTGTCGGCAAGTTCAATTTGTTGAGAGTCGAAAGACTTCATCTTTGAAATGGGTGGCGGAGGGGGGGTTATTTGTCCGCGTTCCAGATAGCACCGTGAGTTCCGTCTCGCTGGCTTTAATAACAAGGTCTGCATCCTTCCGTTGTATTTGGAAGTAAGTCAAAAGCGTTTGTTGCGGCTGACACACGGATCATTTCCTGGACACCATCGCCATAGCGGTTTAGTGGAGGCCCTTTGGCATGGCGGGGCGTGAAGCAAGCAATTGCATGGCTGCACCTTTACAGTGTTGTTTTGTCGCTGTATATAGCACAGGATTTACTTTTGTTACACATAAAGGACTTCAGCATCTTGACTTCATGCATCTTTACGGATATTACCATTATGGTAGCCTTCGTGTTCCTTTCATGACCAGCTCATGTACATAATATAAAAACCCTTGTAAACTAATAGCCTAATCGTCAACCTTAATTAAGATTTATTTTGAACTCCTTAGCTGGAGGTTGAGAGGTTTACAATTTGTTCAAAAATATGGAATAAAACTCAGGCAGTGGTTTAAATTGATCATGTTAACACGTAAAATTATGCCCTGTAACCTTAATAACAGCATTGTATCTTTGAATTTTAATCTTGATAATGGAATAAGGCCTTCAGCATTACACGTTTAAAAGCGAAGAAATTCAACAATTAGCACAGTACCCACCGTGCAATGTTAACTGCAAAAAAATGGGTGTGTAAAACCAATAAAATGTAGGGCCAGAGGCAGGCTGTTGTAGTCCTATTCAGTTGTGTTCCAAGTGCATTTTGATGGCTGACTGTAAGGCACAGGAGAGCTCTGTTGCTGAGCTTTTATTGAAGACTCTTTCGCACACGCGAGACAGCTGGAGACCAGGACCAAGCAACGCCAGAAGCAAAGTAAATGAACGACCTGATTTCAGCTGAAAAGGGCTTTGCTGGCCAATTACACCTATAACCGCTGTGTGGACATGATTTCCGCCAACACATTCAGCCCCACAGACGGCAGCCTCCTGTGTCCGAATGGGACACAAACATCATGAACAGTAAAGAGCGGGGGTTGGTGTGGGGGGAAACAATATCTTAACTTAATGGATAATAGAGATCATAATGCTTTCTATGTGACACACGTTGTCAACAATAGTGCAGTGTCTATGAGCAGAACAAGAATGAAAAGGGATATAGTCTCTACAGTTGATACCTAAGACGATTATAAATATATACGTGGGTAATGCTAACAAGTTGCACATATGCCCTACGCATTATACCGTTTCATTTATTTTTCCAAAGGATCTAACATTTCAACAAGAGGCATGATAAAAAAGGCACACATAATGGACAGAACATTCCACAAACAAAAAGGAAGGTCAGCCCACTGCTGAATAAAATGTCGTCAACGAATATTCAACACACGCTTTAGTGTTATCAAACACAATGCAAATTAAATTAGGTGTTTGCGTTTGCAGTCTCAACACGTACGCGAGAGACGCATTAGGATAGCTGTGGACTATTAAGCTTAACGCAACTCATGGCTTTAATCATTGATGCTGCGTGCACACTTTGCATTCCGCGTGCACTTAGAGCAATCACGAGGCAGCCGGACTTGCAGAGGGCGGACAGCCTGTAATGCGGCAGCAAACGTGGAAGCGTGCAAGCTTGCTCGCGGGCAAAATGATGAGAAGAAAAATGTATTTGGCAGTCAAGGTTTGTTTACGATTAAAGACTAATAGACGTGCCTGGTTTTCAGGTAGCAAATTCTATCATGTGTGCACTTAAAAGTTTGTGTCTCCTATTTTTTTGTGTGGGGGGGGGGGGGAGAATTTGGCATCCGAACTCACCCTTTCTTCCCACGCGTACGCAGTCGATCTTGATTTCCTGCAATGGAACGAGACGAGGAATATAAGGGAGTTCCACACTCAATTTTGCAAACTTCTTTCGGATTACGAGGTCGATATGACCATTGCATTGTCTGTAATTAGTATTGATTGAGCCAGAGTGCTTAGCAAATCTAATCATGTTTGTTCATACATCTTACTTTTATGACAAAGGGTACAGGTACACAGTCATTTCTCCTTCGTAAATGATTGTGCAGTATTAATAAATAACAAAAAAGCTGAACTACCACACAACATGCATTTTTCGCCATAAAATTCACAGTATAAAGAAAAGATAATTTTCATTAAGTGCAAACTATTTTATGTAGCTATTCCATTTTTGCCAGTATTATTTATTTTAATAGAAACACTCAAAATGTATGTTGTATCACAATGAAAAAAAAATCCCAACTCTATTTAATTTTCCGAGATGCAATTCCTCTTTCCCAGAGTACACCGAGAAAATTGTCATTTCTAAAATGGGCTTTCTATTTTGCTTCTTTTCATTGTAATTGTATCCCTTGGTTCATTTATAATGGAACAATTGTGCTATATAAATAATTCAATCTGCCCAGTAGGAGCAAAATAAATATCTAAAATTGTAAATATGCCATTAAAAAAACCTCAGCAACAATTCATACTCGCTGTTATCAGTCAGAGATAATGGAATAAACATTGTGATTCAATGGGCTTTTTTTCATTGTATAATTTGCATCCACTACATCTCTTATCAAACAAACACATTAGTACGAGCAACAACACCAGCGGACCCTTCCTATGTGAGTGAGTAACCCCATGTACACGCTGCTGTAAAATTCAGAAAACAACTGTGCATAATGAGTTTACAATATTGCTTTGAGCTATAAACAGGCCCTTGTAGTTTTAGATCGAGTACTCTTGCCAATTACACCTGGCAAGCCAGCAGCATTCGCTTAACGAGTGATTGACTTTCATGATGCAACCCAGAATGTTCAAACTGGTCCAGAGTTTACTTGCTTAAACAAATTCTGATGGACAATATTGGTCTGGAAAGCCAATAGGGTGATAGACTATATAGGTACATGTGTATGTGAAGACAGTGCGCTAATACAAAAGGAGTTCATAGAGCACTCCGAGGTCAGTTTAAAAGCTGGAACCAATTGCACAGTTCATTTCGGGGCAGGACTTTGGTATTTTTAGCCTTAGTCGAATCGTCAACAACAACCTGCGGAATTTCAGTCGTGTCTTCAAGATTTCATCTAGCGAACATGTAACCGGCGCCGATCTAAGTCAAACATTCAATTTAATCACAGGTCCGTCGTTCAAGTTTGCCGTCGACCGCGGCAGGACTGAAACGAACGCTCGGCGCTCCGCTCCCCGCGCGCCGGCCGCACTCACCCCGGCCGACTGGCTCACGGCCTGGAAGTAGACATCATAGCTCTTCTCGGGCGTGAGTGGCGCGTTCCAGAAGCCGTTGTACGTGCGGTTGTCGCCCACGACGAAGCGCGACGGGCTCGGCAGCGCGGCCGGGGGTAGCTCGGCGGCGAAGTAGTGCGGCGAGTCGCGCGCCGACGCCGCCTGGAAGCCGATGGGCTCGAAGAAGCAGCTTGCGGCGGCGTCGCGGGACGCGGCTCGCTCCCCCGAGGCGGCCGCCACCGCCGCAGCGGCAGGGTGCGATGCAGGCGAGGGCGGTGCCGCCGCCGCCGCCGCCGCCGCCGCCGCCACCGCCGAGCCCACCGTGCGGTCCAGGTCACGCCGCACCCGTGGCTTCTGCTGCTGCTGCTGCTGCTGCCGGTTCTCCTTCACCACCAGCTGGTAGGCGCTGCAGTGGGGAAAGGGAGGCGGGCAGCAGCGACGGTGCGGGGTAAACGTGCGCACTGAGGCCACGCCGTACGGGGGCGATACGACTTAAAGAGAGTTGTGAGAGAGTTGTGTGTACCCGTAGAAATGAAGGGAAAAGATAAGCTTGCGGCGCTGCAATTTGCTTGTTTGGCAACGTGGCTGGCGGAAAGACCTCCACTCGAGAGAGGCTGTAGAAAGCCCGTCGAGAGTGCATTAGGGGCTTCCTACTCTTCCACGCTAGACATCTTGGAAAGGAAGTGGGAATACCCACATTTCACCCCACCACATGCAACTTGCCGATTGCTTGACCGTCATGTACCCGTTCAATACCGCTGGGTGGACAGAGGCAGGGGGATGGAAGTGGTTAAGAACTGCCGCCGTCGGTAGATTGAAATGGCAAACTCTGGATTGTACGGCTAGTGCGCTAACCATTACAGCACGGTAGCAAACCGAAGTATATTAATACTAACGGTGGAGCATAACAATTGTTGGCAGGTTATGCCATGAGAACTACTGTGGAGTAGATGCCGAGGAGGCTACAGAAGCAGAGGAATACAGTGAAAGAGATGGCAGTGAGATGAATTAAAAGCGTTTGGAGGCCACAGCTGAACCGGAACTAAGGGAAGGAAGAAATTGTGTGAACATAGGGGAGGTCTTTGCTCAACTTCAGTGTCAATATAATAATTGTCAGCACTTTGTCACTCCACTGCTAGATGACGGCATCCCCACGCTGTTGGCCATGGGCATTGTTTGGTCAGTGTAGTTAGGGCACTGCGGTGGCGAGATGTTAACTCCGTCGCCTGGTATGCAGGAGGTCGTGGGTTCGATGCCGACTCTGACACCTGTTGTATATTTGGAGTTTGGATTTTTCTCTGGGTCCTCCGGTTTTTCCCTCCACATTTAGCATCAACGCTCATTTAGAGTATTTGGCTGCGATACATTTCCACATAAGTCACTTTATTGAGCTATAAATTGTGGGCAGTTTGCTTCTGAAAGAAAGAGCTATATAGCTCAGTGGGCCAAACCTGGTAAATAAAAAAATAGTTTAGCTTAGCTTGGTGAAGGCAAGGCTCACCCACTCTGTGAGAGCAACCCAATTCAGGCACTGAATACAACATTCCAAACTCTGACACTGAAATGCACAGTGGAATATAGAGCAGGTGGAAGTCATATAGAATGATATTGATACCTATGCTCTGGTTAAATCGATTTCTATTCAACAGAGCATTGGGTAGTTACGAAACAATGGAGTAAAAGCTCATTGGTTGAGAATGCTAAAAAGGAATTACTATTTAAAACGGGTCTGTACTATTTCTAGGTAATGTATATATACCGCTGTGGCCTACAATTTGAAGATTGAAAGGTCACTGATTTGTCCACGAATGGGAGAGTCGGGTAGCTATGGGGGATGCTAATGCCGTGTGTAAAACAGCACTTTTCAGGTCATGTATTGAAAACCCGGGGTGGATGAAATTAAATAAATATATCTGGAAAGGTTCTCACAAGCAGTGAGTTTGATTGCCTCAGGCAGTGGTGATTGTACCACACAACCACATTAATCCCACTGTTTCACACGCCAAAAATACATACATTCAAACTGTTGAGAGGTAAAAAAAAGTACAAAAAAACCAAGAATGTTGCAGAAAATAAATGTGTGACTGATGTCTTATGCTTTTAATTCCATTTTTGTGTGGTCGTACCTCGTGCTGCGATTGTAAAAATAAAGTGAGGAAATGTGTGCTTGAGAATAACGACTCATTAGTGGGTCTTAGAATGGAAGAGATGGGGCACTGCACAAAACGCAATTATAAACCTCCATATAGTGAGTGCAGCATAAAAAATCAATAAGCCAGACTAAAATATATGCATCCGATACCGCATTAGTTCAACCCACTTTTACTCCTGATCCTTTCACAGAGATTGTATTGAGGGTTGGGACTGTGGAAATGCCTGGTGCGACGGTCCATTTTGAGGCTAAACCAGAACACGGGTATGGATTGATTGACCGTTAATAGACGCCACGAAATAAATTCGCAAAATCCGACACGGTTAGTCGCACGCGCGGGCAATATCCGACCTGACGGGCGCGCCCTTCGAAGCCGCCGGCTGCAGCAGAACAGTGATGGTGGTGTCTGTCTCGTTGAGCGGCTCGTCAAACTCGTAACGAGGCAGGGTCGGCGCTGAGAACAAAAGAAGCAAAGTGACGGCGAACATTCGTCTCATCGCTCTTTGTTTCAAACAGGAGGGTCAGCTTCATTCGCCTTACTTGCTTAGTTACTGTATTTATTTCTGTGCAATATGTTAAAACCAGATGTTCTCAGCATCCTCATCAAACGCTGCCTCTGGGTAGCAGTTGCAGTGACACCACCGCTTGGCTTCTGCAGAGATCAAAGCTCGCTCATGGTGGACCGCGAGCGCCATGGTGGTGAGTTGTTAACTACCTCGCCTGGTATATAGGACATCGTGGTTTCAATTCCGACCCTGATGCCTGTATATTTTGAGTTTGCACGTTCTCCCCGTGGTCATGTGGGTTTTTCTCCAGTTCCTCTGGTTTTTTCCTCCACATTTATAAACGTGCATTTAACGTATTTGTCTGCAATAAATTTCCACATGATAAGCCATTTCATTAAGCTATCATTTGTGACCAAGTCGCTTCTGAAATATAGCTATATAACCCAAGGACACCAAACTAAACAGAAATAGCAATTCTAAAGAAATAATATTTCAGGCCAGATTTAAAAGTGCACATCTCCAGTGGCTTCCTAATATCGGAAGAGCGTTCCAGACGGCCGCAAAAGTGCATCTGAAACCGAGCGATGTGGTAACCATCTTTGTTCGATGGCGAGCCAAAAGCCGCTACGAAGATGACCTGAGTTCACCTGATGGTTTATGCTCCTTGACAAGATCAGCAAGGTATTGTGGGAAGCACTTTGTGGGTAATAAGTGCAACCTCAATGTATTCGTTCGGCAACCAGAAGCCAATGTAGCTTTTGGCGAGCAATGGACGGACACGGTGGGATCTTGCAGTTATTAAAGAGAGAGAAAACCGCTGACTCGATATCAACTGAGTTTACCGGAGATGTTGGTGCTCAGGCGGACAGTGACCGGGGGTCCGTAGCCCTTGACGGTGCTGGCGCGTAGCGTGAAGGCGTACGACGTGCCGGGGAAGAGGCCAGAGAAGAGGTGGGCCGTCTCGTTGCTCGCTCTGTGGATGACGCCGCTGCGCGCTGCCGCCACCAGGCTCGGATCGAAGGAGCTCACGGCCTGGTACGTGATCTGGTGCCGGGCAGCCGCAACAGAGCAGGATTTTCGCAGGTGTCGCATCGGTGTGAGGGAGCATTGATAATTACTTGCGTCGTGAATTAAAGAAGGAGAATAATACTTTTTTTTTCATTAGTCTGCGTACGGCATTGCTGATCAGGACAACTAAATGTACACACACCTCGTAAAGACTTATGAGGCCATTGGTCTCTGTGGGACAGCTCCACTGCAAAAATATCCGATCCTCGAACGTGTCCCCTCGAATTGAGTCCTCCGGAATGGGACCTGGCACTGCAGTGTGGGTAAAGGAGAACAACACGTAAGAATACCACATGGTATTCTTGGTTCCTTCGGTAAAGTCACGTAGATAGAAAATTGAACAAATATTATTTTATTATTTTCAATTTTTTTTTTGCTATGTGATTTTACCGAAAGAACCAAAAATATGAATTCCTGCAGTCAAGAAAGTTTTAAGTAACAAAAATATCACGTGGCTTTAAATGGCAGACTACGGGAACACCATTCAGATGCTGAGCAGACCCGAGTGCCGCCAAGGCCTCACCATCTTCATCGGTCTGCGTCACAATCTCCTCGCTCTCCTTGCGCCCCTCTGGGTTGGACAGCACCAGCCTCACGCTGATGTTGGTGAACGGCGGGAGATCATAGAGCGTGTGCTGCGCGAGAACACGCAGAGCCTCGCCGCTCTTCACGGACGCTGACCCCCTGGCCGCCGCGATGCCGGAGCCTTTCCCGCCTCCCTTGGCGAGAGCGGGGCTGGTTTCTCGGTCCCTCTTGCTGCCGGCGGAGGCCTCAGGTGCCACCTCGGCCTTCCATATCTCCTCCCGCACAATCTCGGGGCTGACCCCGCTGCTCCCACCCCATCCTCCTCCTCCGCCTCCACCGCCTCCGCCGCCTCCTCCGCGCCGGTACCGGCAGCGCACGGCCACGCTGAAGTTGCTGCATCGCGTCACGTTGTAGCCCACGCGCTCCCACTCCACGGACAGCTTCCGCGAGCCGACGGACGTGACGAGGAGCCCGCGGGGCGGCCGAGTCGGCTCTGCGGCCACGCGCAGCACAGGAGGAGTAGGAGGGCAGGAGAACATTTATCGATGTATATCTCGTGCTCGGAGATTGAGATTCAGCGCACGCCGTCACCGCGCGGGGCTCCATTGTGAGCTACGTTGCGTTCCACTGCTTAAATATTTATTACGTTTGTGAATAAAATAAAGTGCGGCATAAATAAGTGAGATTTTATATATTTTGGCACGTTACAAATTACTTTTGCGTGATATAAATGCCTCCTCTAACTTAGTTCAGGGTTGTACAATGAGGATGGTAGGCTCTGCTGCTTCTGCTGCCGCTTTTACGAGTCATTTTGAGGCTCATCACCTCTGGCAACATGCCCAGAGACCTGAGGCAGTCTAACAAAGAGAAGCCAGTCACTCATAACAATGGAATGCATTATATCTATAAATGAGTTTTCATACAATTAAACAGTCCAATTTGCATATGCAGCAATGTATTTAAAAAAAACTACACGTTTGCTTTTTTCATTATTATGCATTTGCAATTTCATTTTACAGATTGTATTTGTTCTATTTATTTTTCTCTTGATGATTTTGGTTGTGTCCAAGGTTATCTGTGAGTAAATACCAAAACATATTAAATAATGATCAATGGGGAAAGCGGCCCCCCATCTAAATGAATTTTCTTGCATAATTCATGACACCAATTAATAAAAAAAACACACACAAAATCTAAAGTTTCGCCGAGTATTAAAACTAACGAGCAAGTAAAACGTGTGCCTCAAACCCTTGCCTTCCATTTTCTCACATTGAGCATCATTATGAATGAAAACACCGAGCTGATAATTTTTTTGCTACTTAGAGCCAGATGGCTAAACTATCCCCATCGGGATAGAAAAAAAAGGGATTAATTTTGTGCTGCCCAAATTTTTTTTTTTTAATCAGGCCAATGAGAAGTAAAGTCACTCTGGGCCAATGCTCACCCTTTGAATGCTATTCCCTCCGACCGCCTAATCCCAGAGAGCGTGAAACTTCACACGGTCTGGCAAAAAAAGGCTCATTACCGCTGTCAGTTTGACTCCAAACTCCGTACATTTCCCTCTCATCTCATCATTGTTCGCTCGCAACACCAATGGAAAATATGCCCACTTTTAAACATTACAGCTGTTTAGACTCTGCACCACGAAATCTGGGATTTAAAGTGCAAGGACCATGTAAATTCGTAATTCACAACAGTCAACATACAGCTTGCTACCCGCCGATAAGGTTACAGTCATCACGTGTGAAACAAACAAATATATATACGCGAAACGTTACACGACATGAAGGTGACGACTTGTTTCTGCATGGGTTTCATAGCAGTCGTTTCGCACGGTTGAGACACTGGGGGCTACCCGGCCACGTGCTTTGTGGCGCTGTTCCAAATCGTTAGCGATGAGTGACAGTCCCCCAGCCGTGGCAACTATTTATTAAGCTCTGCAACACGGCCACGAGAACACATCGTCAATATCTCCGGGCCAAGACGTTTGCTGCCGAGGGCTTCGTCATACAGCTTTTGCTCGAACACCGCACTGCCACCGAGCCACCACTTCAAACGCAGCACCAGGACAAAAAAAAGCGCACGGCAGACTTAATCAATACCGCGAGTTTGTCAGAAACCTCCGAGCTTTTGATGGGGAATTCAAAGAAATGGAGTGCGTGTACTTTTTTTTCTCATAAAATACAAGAGGCTTGGCCACAATGCTGCTTTTTTTTAAGTTTGGCTGCGCGCCTTCGTGCAGGGCTTGCAACGGATTCCAGAGAAGCGGGCGGCAGACTCTCGACTGCGTCGTTGGCTGTCTCCGCACGCTTTGTACACACACACACTCTTGTCCCAAACAGAATGAAAACTCCCTGCACATACCACATGTAGATTCAAAGACCGACAAACTCATTTAAAATTAAAGAATGGCACATCATGTGATAAGACATTAAACCTGGCCGTGTAAAAAACACAAGATGTTAAATATTTACAGAGCATATCTGCCAAATTACTGCCAGCATAATCATTATCGTCAATGAAAATCAAGGATAAGGACGTGAATGTTTATTCTGAAGGAATCGGAAGCTAACTTGTATATGCAGTGTTCTATAATGACCCAATTCCTTAATAGTTTGGGAAGAACGCATTGACACGAAATATCTCCCTTTCACGTGGGGCCAGAGGTTAACCAAAAGAGGACATCACGATCCAGTGTTAAAATTGTCATACAAGACAGCTTTGTACTAATGGCTTATGCCTTTAACAATGTTTAAAAGTTAATGCCTGGCTCCGTACAAAACCTCCATCCATTTAAACCACTCTGCCCCCCCCGGTGAGGTTACATTTCTCCCCAGAGGCCAGACATCTAAAATGCTTTCACAAAATGTTGAAAAACACCTTCCTCTCGATGCACTTCTTCTATCCATTTTTCCATTTCAATTCCATTTCTTGTAGAGAGGAAACATTTCATGTGGACAACCCCCCCCCCCACTTATTTTTCATATCCACGGGATGTATTAAAAGCAAGCTATTGATAGAAATGTGTCAATGCGAATGCATGTTCATCTGTGCACATCTGGTAATTTAACATACAGAGAAATTATCTTGCACATCTCCATTATGGAACAGCTTAAATAAACAGGCTTAAAGAGGCCAAATAAAGGACGTATTGCTCGAATAACCATGTAGGCGGTGGTCATCTCCTGGTTATTGCCATGTGGCAGTGGTAGAAATTAGACTTGCCTCTGGTGGGGGTAGGCCTCTACATAAGACAACCAATGTTGTTGACCTCGTGACAAGGTGGTGCCAATTTTATCCGCCCCGGAGGTATGATGTGTTGAGTGAAATCTCGATCAGAATTTTAACTCGCAACCTTCGGATTGAAAGCCTCTCGCCCTACCGGTGAGTCACCTGGGCAGATTGATTGTGAGTAGAATGTACGTTTTGTCATTTTGGTTATCATTGCTATGATTTACTTTTTACCAAGTATTTTCTTTATTTCGTCACTGACATTTCAGTTGAATGAACGCATTCCCCTTCTTGCAGCTTCCATAAATAACAGAGCAAGGATAAAAAATGTATGACTCGAATAATTGGACTGATGTCATTGCGGAACTAAACGTGGAATGTAAACTACGACAAATTTAACAAGACCAATGTTGAGAAAACTTTATCAACATTATTTCTCGACACCCCCTTAAAAGTTAATACATGTGAGCCGATTACTATTTGCTATATGTGCACTTTTTGGGGGGCTATATTTCTTCTCATTTATAAAACATATCGGTCAAAGTTTGTGACACGCAGTCAATGAATATTCCAAATCAGATTAAGAAGCAGAGTTGCTTCGGCTCCTCTTTGAGCCACATAGACTTTGGTGAGACATGTGCTGTTGTCTGACACCTGTTAGAACTCGAAAACAGGTAGTGTATGTGTCAGATGTAGTGTAGCCAGCACAACAGCTACCTGTCTATTTCCACTGGGCTGACAGTGATCATATTCAGAAACACCAGGTACTCATATGAGGTTCAGTTACCTTCAGAGTCCAGGCCAGGTTGAAATACCAATTACCACTTGTGCTGTGAATTTACAAAATACTAAGACAAAGCCCCCCCGCCCCCCCATATAGCCTTAACAAGCCGTTTATGAAAGTGCAGTTTGCGAGCACCTATGAAGGCAGGCTCAGCGCACGAGGGGGTTGGTGGCCAGCACCCCGCCCGACCACCTTTGTCTCCCCAGGGCCGATGTTTACACACCACACCACGTACTCGTGGGAAGGCACAGGACCGGTTCAGATAATCATAACTGGCGTTGGCCGCGAGAGGGAATCAAACCCGGGACACTGGGTTTGTAGCGCAGCGCGCTAACCATAACACGACCGCACCCCACTCATTTGAGGTTAAATTGTCACTTGTGCTGTGAATGGCCAGGAACATATACACACGTTCGTACACATGCACGCGTGCACACACACATATATACGTGCTCATAAAAACATTATACAGAGTCAAATTTAAATGTATTAATATGGTAAATGTGAATTTGCCCCAGAGCATACTGTGACACATTTATAATGTACACTATTAATGGTGAAATAGAGTTATCCATGAATACAGGGGGAAAGTAAAACATATAGGCATACATCTTATAGTGTATGCCGTTTTAATTTTCCATAAGGTAAATTAATGAATAAATGCAGTCTGCCGTAAATATTATGTAGGGGGGGGGAAAGGGTTGCTATCATTTTTTTAATATATCTATTTAACACGGTTGTATTTCCCTCAGGCTGAGGGTGACTCCCACAATCCTATAAACCATTTAGTGCCCTATGTGGCACAGTCGTCATTCAATGCATAAAGTATCACCCCCTCTAAAACGGCTACGCATGTTATGTATGTTTCGCACCGTGCGTAGCCAACCGTGGCAATCAGAGGTGCGTAACCTCCGCATCACACCAGAGAAAGTGGAACGTTAAGGTGCCCCGGTGTCATGGACCGAATTATATATATTTATTAACAATATATAAATTAACTCGGAAACGACTTCATTGGGAGAGAAAAAAGACATACACGATAACATTGCCCCTCTACTACTAGACCCATGCCCAGTGCCCACATGTTTTTGCCACGCACAGGGACAGCTGACAGCAGGAGTACAGTGCAACGAGTTACTGGGGCATCTTTTGTTGGTCGGTGAGTACAAGCGCCCAGGAGGCCAACAATGCCTAGCAGCCAGCGGCAAACAGCACCATTAACGTTTGGAATAGACGGTTGAGTTCGTGCGTTCCTTAAGTTCAGCAAGGTCATGGGAAATTCGGTAGAGAGACGAGCGATGAAAACAGGAGGTGGTTGAACACAGCGCAGGATGAGACGACACAGTCGGTCTGGTTGGCCGAGTCCACGACACGGGCGCAAGAATCGATGAAGTGGAGTTCACGGAACAGTAGCCCATGGAACAAGGGAAGAGCGACGCAAGCGCCCCCTAGACACTAAAAATACGACCCAGCTGGCTCGGTGGTAGAGTGGGCAACTCGCGATAAGAAAAGCTGCGGATTTCAAATCTTGGTTGGGGGTTGACTCAGCCCACCATCCCTCTGGAGTTGATAAAAATGAGTACCCCTCTAAGCGGTATTCAACATTGGTTGTCCTGTGGATAAATTCAGCCACGATGCCCGAGCGGCGTGGCACTTCCACCACTGGCTCGGGACTGTGCACAGGAGACAAGCGCCTGCCCCGGGTGCTCATTTGTGGAGGGAATCGCTTGGACCTCTTTGACTTAACAGTAAAAACAAATCCTCATCCTTAAATCCTCAACGGCGGTGGGGGTGGGGGGCAGTATACCGCCTACCGGCGCACTTGGTCCTGGCGAGGAGGGGTGGCCCCGACTTGCCCGTGCCACCCTCGCCCGGCCTCGTGAGCAGCACGCGCACCTCGTAGCGCGTGTCCGGATCCAGGTGCCACAGTTTGTACGTGGCGGCGTTCACGGCGTGCGTCTCGGCCCAGCCGCCGACGGAGGCTGGCAGTCGGTACTCCACCTCGCGCAGCACCACGGGGCCGTCACCCGCGATGGAGTTGGCATTGAGCTGCACCAGCAGGTAGGTGGCTCCGGCTCCCACCAGCTGCGGGGGAGCCACGGGCGTAGGTGGCTCTGAACGTGCAAAAGGGAAGATTGACAACATCAAGGGAACTAGACGTTTTCCCAAAGCACTCGTTGATTCGCTTGGCGCAGGTGGAGGCATGCGTTTCCTGCAGGAGGCATGGGCTAACGCTGCTGAGCTACAAACCAACACCACGTGCCTGGCTCCAACTCCATTTCTATTTTATACAGACACAGCCTGCAATATTGCTTGTACTATATTACTTCTGCGGGCGAAAGTAAATAAAAGGTAAAGCTATAAATCCTGATGGTATTTTTGCTCACACACCACTGGTGGCAGAAAAGGCCTACCCACTAGACGGAGCGCTAGAGAGGCCCGAGAGAGGGCACTTGGACGTTTTGGTGGTACACCGGTGCAGCATAACGCACCGGTCCTCATGAAACAGTCTAAAACATTTGTGTTAATTGGCATTCGTCGTTCGATTGCTTCGACATCGCGAGAACTGATTTTGTTGCACCCTGCAAGATTGCGAATCGCGGGGAAAAAAAGTAATGGTGAAAAATGTGCTTTTTTTTGTCATGCTACGTGCCGGTGTACCGCCAATATGTGAATGTGCAGTCTAATTTTCCAATCAGGTTAGACGTCTTGGCAGACGTGGGTGCACCCACACTCTACTCCATCACACGTAATCCATGAATCGACTGTGTTGGTACCTATTGATACAACCACGTGTACAGACGGGAGGGGATCTAAGAATCTTGCCCATTGTTTCCCTTTGCCGCTCCGGGAGATCGAATCGATGACATCTGGAATGCAAGTCAGGCGTGCTAACCATTACACCATGGTGGTATCCCATGTGTATTGCTACTTGTGTATATCCCCATCCGTATTCCTCAGAAATTAACGTTCGTTATCAGAACTTGGGTTGAATGGGTAGAAAGGGAGCGATAGCATTTACCGTTTCATCAGATGTATTGGCAAATAGTTTTTGGGCAAGCCACGGCCGCATTTTGCTGCATTAATAGACTAAAAACAAACTAAACTGAAAGTTACATTTTAAAAAAAAACCCACGAACATTGAAAATTAATGCTGCATTAAATGGAGAAACAATATGTATAATGTGGCATTTCGAGCAGCCCTTTCTGCATAGCACAAGGGCCCTCCTCCATAGTTCTATCGAAGACCATTGGCCAATACGTCGCCAATTATATATATTTCCTTTTAAAGGAAGCATTATTGATAAATGTTGTTGAGTTTCTTGTTATTTGTGCTTGTGTAAAAACTGCCAACGCAGTATCCCAAAATAATTTGAGAGTAATGTCATTACGTTTCGGTGGCCAATATATTCTGCTGTTAAAATAAAAAATAAAAAATAAACACATTGCATGGTTGTTATGGGGTGCCTTCCTCAGATTTCATGGTGAGCACAATGCTAAATGTCACACACGTTTGTGGCATGAGAACATTTCTTGCCGATACAGAACCCGGACAGGCACTATACGCCGGAGAAAAAGGAAAAGGGTTCAAGATGAAGTTCACGCTTATTGACTTGAGGTCGCTTAAATATCAAGAGGTGTGCATTCATTGGTATCACACCAACATGACCTACTTAGACACCTGATTATAATCATTAAACTTACTCCACATGCACAGTTAATAAAAATCAATCGGATAATGAATGACGTTTTAACACATTAAAATATGCAAAATCCACTATACAGTAATTGCAATGCGCACTTCAGCAATGCGCACTTCAGAAAATGGGACTTGATTAGGTGGAGGTAAGTAATGTCGCAATGCACAAGGAAGAGTTCACACAATAGTTATATTTTGTGTAACAATTGAGTGGCACTATTAAACATAAATCTTACATTCACTTGTCCAGATGAAGGGCAAATACATAATTTAACATCGTAATTAAATGTGTATTTATCAAATGCACCACAGGGGTAAAGTATAATTAAGTTTGATATAACATACCTTGCAAGATTGGATGTTTTAATTAGTAAAGGTAAAGATCGCTAAGAGGCATTGGAAGGTCTTCATCTAAAAGTGAATTGACAAAGGTGTTGTCCATTACTTATTTATTCCATTATATAAATGTAAATAATGACAAATAAACTGTATTGAATTGAAAAAGGTCTTAGTGTGATATAAACACGGTCTACTACGATGAGCTATCCAGTTGCTGTGATATTTGCATGGTTGTGAGCACTTGTGGCAAACTTTGTTGTTATGAAACCGGGACAAATACTCGCATGCAAGACAAGAAAATCAATGGACTCCAAAGGTTAATCAAATAGTTGAAATAACTATAAACTGCATTATAAGTTTGAAAGGCTAACTTTTTACTATATTTTTTCAAAATAATTACCACCTCAACAGCAGTGGATTTATTGAATTATTAAATAAAATATGCTCACTTTTTTTTAAACGAAAACTTTCAACGAAAAATGCCCCCAACTTTTCAACAGCTCTCAGATATATCCTTGAAGAACTATGGGAAGAAGAAGAACCCTACGCAAATGAAGTAAAAGTCAGCGTGGCTTACGGAAACTGTCAACGCGCGCAAACGTTCAGCAAGTGGCAAGGAACAGATGTGAACGAGTCATATCTTCCGTTACGTCTGTCGCCATTGCCAGGCGAGCCTCGCTAAAACACCGACAGAACAGGATAAGAGGAGAGGCGGACAGAGCACAAAAAAACCAATCAGAGCATCGATCGAGCATTCACCCTGGGAAACAACTAGGGGCTGATGGGATTTTCAAGTCCCACCTGGTGAATAATAGAGAAGGCTCCTGCTCTACTCCGTCAACCACCTCTGTGCAAATGTAAATTGTCCTGAGGATTGATGATGCCCCACCGAGTAACATAAATGCCTGGTGCAGCGCTTCCCCTTTCAGCAAATTTCATTTGCGATGTAGGGGGGGGGGGGGGGGAGGATTTGTTTTAAGAGAGACCGTTATCTTTGTGAAGGTACAAATCCTCATAATGTCAGAGGAGTAAGACACGATGAATCAGGAACCGTGGAGACGAGCAGAAATTTGTTTTCGGAAATTATTTATAACCGTGATATATGAAGGGATAATCATGGATAATGAATGATAGTTGATAATTATTGCAATAAATTATCATGATAATGATGCCTTTAAATGTTTTTTATATGTTTTAATAATTATATGCTCAATAAATTAAGGTATCAATTTACATTATGTGCATAAAACAAAACTTCAAATGCAAATATACATATACAGTACAGGTCTCATTGCTACTGAAGCATTTTCAAATATGTGCTTCCATAATTATTGAAATTAAATCATCTTACTTTATATTCGAAAAAAAGCAAGCACTGTAACTCATGGCTCTGGAAGCCATTTGGCGGGATTTTAAATGAGAAACAGTGCAACATATTCTGGGAAAAGGTCAACACGGTGATTTTAGGAATTATCTGCTCAATGTCATCGTGGAGATGGTAGTTTATGGCATTGGAAAAAAACACCAACATGAAAATACATAGTGAGCGATACCCACGGTTGTACATTTCAACATGTTTCACCACACTGGTCGGTGTGTGTTGGTGAAGATATGAAACTGATTTGAAGAATTACAAACCCGTTAGCCTCTTATCACACATTTATGAACTGTTCACGAAGATCACAGAGGACAAAGAATAAAGGTCAATTTAGAGGGCAGACAACCAGAAGAGCAATCTGGAGTTTGAGAAAGGGTTTTCTACCATCAACTGCCTACATGTTATCAATCAGATTCTAGAAAAGACAAATAAATACAAATTACCATCATCCATATATTTTTGTAGACAATGAAAAGTATTTTGGTCAGGGGAAACCCATGAAGTCGTCCAAGCTCTCACAAAGCAAGGCTTTAATAAACATATACATCAAAATTAGCTAAACCATTTATACAAAATAATAAATATACAAATCACAGTGAAGTCAAGCAAGGAGATAGACTGTCACCAATATTATTCACAGAGAACCGTGAAGATATGTAAATATATATATATTATCGGAGAAATAAAGTCATACAAATTTACTCTGTCAGAACCTCTGATGACTTTGCCGTTATAATGCCCAAATAATAATGAACTACAGCAACTGATTAAAGAACTAAACAAACAAGGCTGAAAAGTGGGACTAAAGAAAAAATGAGCAAAATAAAAGTCAGGTACACAAGGTTAATGAATAAAAGGAAATCATTTTGGGAGGGACACAACTGTAAAACACAACAGAGTATTTATATCGAGCACAATTGTTGAAGGCAGACTGGCATCAACATGCTCTAATAAGCAAGTGATCGACAGCAGGATTTTAAGACAGAAGCTCCAAATATTTGTCGATACACACTTTGGCATTAAAAAGAAAAAAATTATAATCGGTAACGTTTCGAGCAATGGCCCTTCTTCATAGCACATTCAGTAGGATGGAGTGTTTTTGAGAAATGAAAATCAACTTGCTTATGTCTTTTTCATTTTAAACACTACTGCAGCTCTTTTGCAGTGTTGATATGTTTGCTCCGTCGAGTCAAACCATTAATTATTCAGGATAGAAGGGGGATTAGAGGGCTTTCATGTCGTATACAACATGTTTTGGGATTATTTAATTATAGATGCTGAGTTTTAGCAGTGGTTAAGGCAATGCCATTACCTAAAGCACTGCTAAGTCAGTTTAAAGTATAACTCATATAATTAGTTAACTGACTGTCAGTTAAATTTTGATTTAAAGCTTTTGTGACTGCAGTAATTCATATTCTTAGCTCTTTCGGTAAAGTCAAGTTGAAGGGAAAACAATAAAATAATAAAATATATATAAAAACAATAAAAATTCTCACGACGTTTCGACCATAACACAAACGGTCATCATCAGGTGTGAAAACCAACGGCAAGAAACATTTGAAAGAAGTGGCAGTCCGCATTTATTTATTTATTTTTAAACAGTGCAGTTATTTATATAACAAAAACCGTTAGCACCACGGGCAGCGATTTGGCAGTTTGTTTAGAAGGACGAGTCCATCTATGTTCTGAAAAGAGGAGGGGGAGACGAAAATTTAATGAATGCTGTCTGAAAGCCACCGTAAGCGTGAACAATCAATTAAGAGCTGAAATGGTTTATCAAATCCTTCCAATGATTGCTAAGCCGTGATCTGGTTCCGTCTGTAAAAGATGTGATTCCGGACATACAGTACCCTGGTGTCTACAAACTAAGTTGCCTCTGTGGTAGTAGTTACATTGGAGAAACCAAACGCCATGTCTTGGACCGCATTCGTGAACACAAAGCAGACCTTAAACACGGTAGGACCAACACCTCAGCCGTGGCAGATCATTGTTATAATTCAGTAGGCTCACATGACATTGACTTATCCAAGACAGAGGTTCCTTGTAAGCCATCTGGCTACCATGAGAGATTCGTTCATGAGGCTATCCACATATACAAGCACAGAGACAATTTCAACCGAGAAGATGGATTCTGGCTTAGCAATCATTGGAAGGATTTGAGAAACCATTTCAGCTCTTAATTGATTGTTCACGCTTACGGTGGCTTTCAGACAGCATACATTCATTTTTCGTCTCCCCCCTCCTCTTTTCAGAAAATAGATGGACTCGTCCTTCTAAACAAACTGCCAAATCGCTGCCCGTGGTGCTAACGTTTTTATATAAATAAATACAAACATCGTTTAAAAATAAATAAATGCAAACCGCCACTTCTTTCAAATGTTTATTGCCGTTGGTTTTCACACCTGATGATGACCGTTTGTGTTATGGTCGAAACGTCGTGAGAATTTTTATTGTTTTATATATATTTTATTATTTTATTGTTTTCCCTTCAACGTGACTTTACCGAAAGAGTTAAGAATATGTAGAGGACGTGTAGGTTGCCAGTTAGTGTTAACAAAGGGCAGCTATAGCACGCACTGATGTAACAATATCTTTAAAATAATTAAGTATTATACTTGATTCAGTAAAATTCGCAAAAATTGCATAATGTCCAATGTTTTGACATTCTTATGGGCTGTCCAAAAAAAGTATACATAGAGAAAAATGCCAAGTTCAAATGTAGTTGCAAGCAGACATGCCTGCGTACTCCAAGTGCAGGTTCTTTTAAAATGAATTGAGAACGGGTTTACTGACACATTGCATTGAGGACTAAACTGTTGCATTTCCCTTCCGTGCATGTTAAAGAACAACATTTAAACAAGGGCAAAGTCAGTCAAATAAAATGACAGTGGCTTGGAAATATGTTCAAAATAAAGCCACGTGTAAGTCATACGATTTTACTTACTGTACTTTAGAGTAAGTTACTTGCAAACCAAAATGCACCCAATGATAATGGAATTGATGTGTTGTTCGCATGTGCTCGATTAATTGTTGAAATATTTGCTTTAAATGATCGACACATTAATCAGTGCATAGTCTGCAGTTATTTCTGAGAAATGACCAAGAGGTATCACCTTTTAATAACACATCTTGCCGATAATTTCTGCCACTTCACCAGCACTGAATCAAGAAAGCATAACTCTGCTGATGAGAGAGAGAGAGACACTGCATTTTGAAACCGCTCCAGAGTTTGCTTGTCTGAACCAACGCTGCTGAAACTATACACTCCCAGAAGGCCAATGGGTCATCGGGTTGGGTGAAAAAAAACTTGCAGAGACAGATAGACGATTCTTACGCAACAAACACTAATGATTTGGTTGCGTTACCTTTCACAATGAGCTGTGCAAAGTTGGACACCCCTGCGCCGTCAGCCGAGCCCGTGACGCAACGGTAAATGTCGGCGTGCGAGCGTGCGGCGTACGGCACACCGAAGGACGCCGCGAATCTTCTGTGGTTCACCAACTTCGTTCCGCTCACGGGGATGTCCTGCCCATTGCTCCTCTATAACGAAGCACATGGGAGGTTACGTATTTGCGTCAAACAAAAAAATCAGCGCAGGGGGATAATAATCAGCACAGTTATCCACTACACAAAAAAAACTTATCGGAATATAAAGATGAAATGAGTCGCCAACAACGGCATTTGTTGTGGGGCGGGGGGGGGCGGGGGGGGAGGGGGGTTTGGAGCTTTTTCTCATTCTATAAACTGCACACTGAGTGCATTTCCATTAACCAGCAGATGTCGATATACCGTGCACAGCAGACATGTTGACGGTTTTCAAAATAAACTACCTCATTGGAGTGGTTTATTTTGGTCAGTGTGTTTAATGGCCAATTCTCGTAGTATGGGGAGCAGGGGGGGGGGGAACAAAGGGGCTGCTTTGCTTCTGATAGAAAACATTGACACATGGGAGGCACGATGGAATTCATTTCATGACACGGTTCACTGTCCATGTCAGATTTGGGGGTAAGAGTGCGAACACCGCTTTGAATGCTCTGTCAATGCAATGAGATGAGGAATATCGAGCAAAGCCCTTTCCCACACGCGATATCTCCCTTCTTATCAACGCTACAAATTGACTCGAGATAATTGATGCAAATTTCTGCCAGACACACGCTCAAATTTATTTAACACTGTGCATGCTGCCTATTGGGTTTTGCAAGTAGCAGGTGGGCCAAGTTAAGGGATGCTGTATATTGACTAGCGCCAGTTAATATAAAACACATCGGTTACAAGTTCTGCATGACTGAAGGCCCCCGCATACTGTATACAGCAGTGCTGAAGGTGCTGCAGGCACAGGTCAATTCAGCTAAATTCCCTTGCTGGTCAGCCTGGTGAGAAGATAAAGTGCAACCCGCATGCCTGGATCCCCATCACAATCAATTTGGAAGTACACTTACTGTACTTTAGAGTCATAGTTTCACTGCTGGTACTCACAGACGTAATGCTTGGCATTCCGCCTGCGACACCACGTTCGCCCCTTTGATGACAACCGTCGTTATACACGGGCAACTCATTTCTAGACGTGTAAAAAATATATATTCACATAGTTACCTGCAACCAGAGGAGTTCATTGGTGAGAGCCTTCCCTGTGGCAATGCACTGGAAGGTGGCGTTCTGTCCGGCGTTCACTTCTACGCTGCCCAGTCGAAGGAAATGAGGAGCTTTGTCTGCCAAGTGCAAAAATAACAAGTTTCAAACGTGACAAATGCATCCGCTGTACGTTGTTGAAATCTGCGTATTCATTCAGAAGTGTCCACATTTGTGATTGTATCACCGTCTTCGTTCCTTACTTACTGCATGGATAGCTATGGACTTGCACATCATCGATAGCTATGTAACCCAGTTCAACACCAGAAGAGACCGCTTCAAATATCACCTGCAGACATGGAACAAAATGTGACAAATGAGCATCGATTTTTTTTTTCCTCTGCCTCTGTGACCAAACGCTCACTTGCATGCGCACCAACTGCAGCAACATCAATATATGTACTGTATTAAGCAATGTACAAAATACACCATCACTCTTCTGATCTTCACTAACACACCTGGCCTCTCAGAAATGGGGGGGGGGGGTGGGGGGAGGGGAAAAAAAACCTCAGACTCATCTTTGGAATTGGTCTAAGACATTTCTTGTTGAGACCTACCTCATGAGTGTGAAATGCATTTTTTATTTAGACCGCTAACCCAAGAGTGGCAGAGTGGCTCATCCTGTGACTTAATGATATTGGAACTTTTCATCTTCACACCTCGGCTTGTCTTTAATGAGTCAATTCCATTTCTACAAATATCATGGCGACATTGTGCACATCAACGTTTTCTGGTCTCCATTTACCATTTCCAAAAATGTATTCTTCAAGTATGTGTCTGCATGTACATTAAAGCACGGATATGCTGATCTCAAATGTCTTACACCACCCCCTTTTCCGTATATTTATATCACTGTTAATTTTACACGTCACAAATACACTCAGAATGTTGCTCGTCAGCGGTTTGATTCAATCTCACGGTGTGGCAGTTCTTAAATTCCCCCCCCCCCATCCCCATCTCTGTCTATCCAGCAATACAAATGGGGTAGCAACACAGGTAGTCCATCAGCAGACTGCATTCGAGTGTTGATATTCCCACCTCTTCCATGGCATTTGGGCAGAGTAGCAGAATAGGTCAAATACTCTCTGGAGGGGGCTATCTATAGCTCCGTCTCATAGACGCCCGATGCCAGATGTGGTGCGAGCAAGGAATTCCAGGGCTGCACCTTTACCCCTACCTTATAAACACTCAGTTTAAGTGCTTAACAATAATAATGAAGTCCAATTTTCCCCCTTCATCGGGCCCTGTCCCCGACCCCCGCCCTCCCCATTTTGCTATCGGCTCGCGTTGAGTTGCAACATAAAAAAAATAACAATGAGAATCTAATATCACACAGGTAAGAATATCGCATCTCACCTGATAGCTATTTGGCCAGAACGTGCTGATGGCCAGCTCGGCACGTGCCCAGCGGCGGCCCATGCTCTCGCTGGCGTTCCAGATGGGGTTGGCGAGGGGCCCCCCGTTGACAGCCACGTAAACGTTGAGGGTCCCGGGGCTGAGGCGGCCGGGCGCCGAGAGGTGGTAGTGGAAATCCAGGCAGTGCGTGTCGTTCTTCTTGATCTGTGGCAGACGCAGGGTGGCCCACTGCCCCGGCACGCGGTCGGACGTGTTCGCCAGCATGTACGTGTCCACGTCTGGAGGCGAAAGGGGGCACCGTCGCAGGCGGGCGGCAGGGTTAAACGCGGACGCGGGGACAAGTTCGACTCGGTGACCGACGCGTTCCCAGCAGCGACGCGGCAGGCCGGAAGGGGAGAATGCGTGTCGGCGTGCTTCATTTGAGATGCTGGCACAACACGGGGATGCGTTTGTCATTTGATGAGATGCTCTTGGCCTTGGGAATGAGTTATTTTATTGTTTCCCTTCTACGTGACTTTACCGAAAGAACCAAGAATATGAATCCCTGCAGTCACGAAAGCTTTAAATCAAAATGTTGACATGTTGCGAAGTCAATCATTATCACGTCAACGGTGAAATTACGTCGGTGTTAAAATGCCCCATTGCAAATAAACATGGTGTGTATTGTTAAAAGGCTCAAACCCTAGCAGTAATCAAAGCACACACGTGTAGCAGAAATGTCATTAAAAGAGTATACGCGCAAGGGAGTGAGGCTGCAGAGCTGTCCAACGGTTAATGTTCAATGTTGGAAACATCCGCAGATATGTTATTCAACTTGTGGCATCAGGTGGGCTTACAACTAAAGCGACTTTTATCCAATGGCAAGAATGTGTCAGGAGGTCAAACGAACTCAAACGTTTGATCTTTACATTTTTCATAAACTTTGTGACCCCCCCCCCCCCACACACACCTCTCCCCTCTACACACGATCGCCCTCAACCACACCCCCATTCCACCTTTAACCTCTCCACAGCAACCCACATGAGCAGCCAAAACCCAGGAGAATGAGGAATCGATTAGATAGAGCGAGATAAGGAAGAGGGGGGGGTAGAGTTTTAACAGCGAGGTAAAAGGTTAAATACAAATAAAACAGCTGTGCACCCCCAACACCCCCCTCGCAATATCACCATCGACGTGCTGATACACGGATCTATCAGTTAAACAATCAAACATACACACACACAAATACATGCGAACAAAAATTCCATAAGAGTGGCACATTGAATGAGATCGCGGCTTGTTAGAGAGACGTGTGACCAAAGAGGAGCGTGTGCAGAACGAGCCTCACATGAGAGCCCTGGGCAATGGACAAATGTGCGCCTACACTGTCTATAAAACATTTAATATGTATTTACGATGCAAATTTATTTTAATGCCCATATATATTCACACGTGAAGGTATGCATAAAGGCTCCCGTTTATTTAATTGCATTTAAATACGTTTCGCTGGGAGGCATTATTACATCATGAACTTTGAGTCAGCAAACAATAAGTACGCGGTTTGACATCACCTGCCTAAGCAACGGATCAATACAAATTACATTTATATTTTACGCAAAGCTAATATTGATTACCCCCTTTCATAGCATAATAAGAATATTGCGATCCCATATACTGCCTATGCTCTTTTGCTAGTGTTTTTTTTTTCATTAAAATTAGTGACAATATAAATGTAAAATACCAAGAAAATATCAATGTGGCTTTTAACTGGACATCACACGATGACATATCTTAAGTTACTGCTCTTTTGTACTTTGCAAAAAGCAACATAAATTATGCAAGCACAAGCAATTGATTTTCTGCTCAGTGAATGCTGAGGAAGTGCTCATCTTTAGTTTACAGCCCTGATGCAGTGGTGAAAATTCCCCATTCCTACGACGAGCATGCATCTACCACCAATGACTTCCCCACAAAGTGGTATTTATTTCATCTACCCCAGAGGGATGATGGCCTGCATCATCCCACCAAGCAAGATTTAAACTCACAACCTATGGTTGAGCCATGAGACTAGGTATATAATGTCATCAGAAATGTGTTTTATTTTCCCAAAAGCTACCAAATGAGCAATCAAAGTGGCCAAAAAAAGGCAATATGTACCAATTAAATTTAAAAAAAGTTATTCACATACGGTAATCACATTTTGTTTCGACAAAGTAGAATTATTTAAAAAATGCTGACCGCTGGCAGTGCTATATATCTAAACAAGTCTCCAAATTACTGCAGCCAAACGTGTTTATTGCACACGATGAGCCATTTGGAAAACTATAAAGGCCTTATTGAAGACATCGCTGGTGCATTTTGTGATACTGTACGTTTTTATTTCCTGAAACATATTATCTTATACGCCCCCAATAAAGAACGAAATAAACAGATGAAATTAAATAACGAGCTCACAATTAAAGCAAGCAAATAAGCAATACAAATGTATGAATATGTAAATGAGGTGCACCGCAAAGGTTATAATTTGAGGCTTGTCCTTCAGTGGCGCAAATAGTTTCCCCTTAGACGGCGGTAACCCCGTTACAAATTAGGTTGCCACAGAGCTCAAATAAGTGTCCTCCGTCTGCCTTCAGAGAGCACCACTCACACAGGGGCCCATATCCCACCGGGTATACAAAACATCTCTCTGGGCCCAAGGGGTTAAATCAATATCGGGAAGTCAGTTCAGCATAATAAATCTGCACTTCAGTTGGATCGTTGGTATATATATCAAAAAAAGTGCTCCATTACACTTGATTTTGAAGGGACTTTTTAGTTTTCTTCATTCGGGCAGCGGACTAAATTAAGTCCGCTGCCCTCACACGCTCTCGTGTGAAATCGGGCTCAGGCATGTCGAGTGAAACGTAGCAGGGCATTCGTGTTTGAGATGGCAAACAAACGCCAACCATGAACCTTCGGGGTGCACACAAATCAAAAGGAAATTGCAACATGGTAAGATTTCTTTTCTTTTTTGTGCTAGCCACTCTGCAAGCATTATGCGCTAAAGAATACAGTGCAATATTGCTAATGCTGCTGTACGTTACAACTCGAGCATGCCTTTGAATCATTTTTTTTTTTCCCTGTGACTCACCACAATGTTCCCAGAGTGTAATAGATGATGCATTTTAATTAAGAACATTTATTTTGTTTTGATTGCGTGTGCATTAAATGTAGCTGATTAATGCGACTGTTTATCATTTTGCAAACCAGAAGATGCACGTTAGTATTTTGCCGTTCATGAAAAAAATACTGATAGAAATACAACAAAAATCACAACACGGCATTACTGGACACTGCGCATTACAGGCTGTGAGAAAACATTGATCTTGCTATCGACAACTAACCCAATATTGGCGTCGGGTTTATTTGTATTGTGATGTTATTTGGTCACCGTATTTCATAATATTGACTCTTGTAAACCAAATCCATGCGGTAATTTAAGACCAATACATGAAATGTCAATACATATATTTGCATGCTATGTTTTTTTTTACAAAAATTGTTTCACATGAAACAATTAACAATGGTCATTATTCGGTAAGAACCATAATTTGCCCATTCTAATCATGCATCATGCGAGTAATTAAATAATAGTAAAATATATGCGTATAAATGTACAACCTATAATAGCAATCAATCCATACAAATGGCTAGGCGGCTCGCAATCAGAAGGATGCAAGTTAAAATCCTGGTTTTGGGAGGTTGACTTGTGCCTATCATCCTGCCATGGTCAAATAAAATGAGTGGCAATTTCTGGGGAAGTCAACAGCGGCCGTCCTTTGGAGAGAATCAAACCCACCGTAGGAATGTGTAATTTCCCCCAATGTTGCAGGGCTGTAAAAAAAAATAGATGTCCATTGCCCCGATGCTCATCACTTGGACTACTGAATAACAATCACATTTGAGTAAAATAAACAACACAGCATAACTCAACACAATTCATTTCCAGTTTATTGACGTGCACTTAAAAGGCAGCACGATTAAGACACCCACGTGTAACGCATCAAATTCTGGAATGTTAACTGTAAGATATACACGCACGTAGCGCACGGACATATAAATGGGTTAAAGTGCCTTTGGGAGAACACAAACAGCAATGGATTAAGCGCATACAACCAAGAAAACTGGGTTAAATAAAGAGCTCATTGATTTAGTATTAGGACATCCTTTATTGGAGTTTGACCTGGCTCAGAGTTGAGCTTGGATATGCATGTGGAGGCTTTCAAATGAGATTCACATCACAGTACAGAACTCATTGAGAAGGATATTGCAACCTACTCCACACTGTTGCATGAAATATATATACAGATTCTGAACAGCGTGCGTAATAGATATTTCATCATCGTCAACGTTTATTATCCACACTGCACCCGCCAGGCGAAACATCTCGAGGCACCAGACCAAAAGGGGCTGTTTTAGATAATTATCCCGTGAGGGAGCACGCGATTGCCAGCCAAATACGGCATGACGTTCAAAAAACAATGGCAGCATGTCGAACGTGCACCGGGACACGAGAACGGACACATCCGACGATCTCGAACCGTGTCTGATCCTACAGTGCAACTCTCCGTCCGTTTTGTCCCATTCAACCTTAACACAACTGGCTGAATGCATCCTACTGTGTCTTACGTGTTAAACTGCGTCTTTCAATTAGACATTCCATGACCCGACTGCGCTCGGGATAATATCGGAGCTTGCCGTTATAAGCGTACAACGTGCATTATGGTAACTGCATTGCACTTTAGGAATGCTAACAGGGCTTTGTTACATGTGACCGTTGATCTAACAACAAGGCACACAACGGTGACAGGAATGTGCTAAACTTTGATGTAGAGCCCTTATTAATGCTGTGGCCCACTCTCCCTGTAGTGCAGTGATAAGCTGCTCCTGATGACAAGGCTCAAGGCAATGAGCATGCACGTATCTCTACAGCTTATCCTATCCCCGGGTTGGCCACAGCCCAGAGCTTCAGCCCTAATGCTTTTCTATGAGAAGGGGCTTGATAAATGCGTTGCATGTTTGCCATGTAATAATCATTCATCATTTATAATTTATCAGTAATCAGCATTTACTTGGCAAGACCACATTATATATTCAATTAAATCAGATTTGGCACGCTGCATGTTTAATATAATTATTTACAAAATTAAGTTCGAAAACATGTCCTCTCTTCCCTCATTTTATTTATATGATTGGGGATATTTTTTTGTTGTTCTTGCACAACTGTCCCCCTTTACGTAGAAAAATATGAAACCAGCTGCGCCGCTTGAACATCTACGGCAATGATGAACATACAATGGGATAACAATGCAATGTAAATAAGCGTTTAGTGAGGAGCACACTTCACAGAAGCAACCTCCAAGCACTGAATACTGATTACGAAGCCGACTCCATAATGGGGAGAGAGGAAAACACACAACGCATTTTCCAACAAATATGCCCATAAACTATGGAAGGACAACATAAAATAAACCGCCTCTGACAAATAAATTGTTCAAACCAATGAGAACAAAAGTGAAAATAATCCCATGAAATACAATAAATCATCACGAATATGATGACGGATATCTAATGCAATTAAAATAATGTTACATGAACAAAACTGCCTTGCAGTTAATATCAAATTATGAGCAGAAGTTAAGTGGCTTTAAATAAAATCTGAACATTCACAGTTATCGTTGAACTTCCACCGGAGCCAGGGATGTGGGGGGTTGGGGGAGGGAGCTGGGATATTGACTCCGACCCTTAGGTTTCCCCCCCACGACGATCCCTGCAATAAATGAGAACGCATATTTCTTTTACCATTAAAGAATCATCCACGGCACACTGCCAATGCAACAGAACTACAGATATGTTAAGTAAAAAAAAAGTGGCTCAGCGGATAGACGCTCTAAGTCGAGGTAGTGGGTTACAAAAGCATCATGTGACACGGAACAGGGATTTAAAGTCGTGTTGAACATCTGCGTGTCAAACTAAGCTACCTTGTGTCTTATACCCCCCGGCCAGAGCTCATCCACGCAGAAGACACTGCTTTATGTTCACTTTTAATTAATGGTGGCGAGATGTTAACGACCTCGCCTGGTATACAAGAGGTTATGGGTTCGATCCCGACCCTGGCCCCTGTATGTTTGGAGTTTGCATATTCTCACTGTGGTCGCGTGGAATTTTATCCGGGCCCTCCGGTTTTTCCCTCCACATTTAGGAGCATGCGTTTCGAGTACGATATTTGGCTGCTAAAATGTCCACACGATACGCCTCTTCGTTGAGCTAACATTTGTGGCAAGGTCGCTTCCGAAAAAGGAGCTGTAAAGCTCAGTGGGCCCTTGCCTGGTAAGTAAAAAAAAAGTAATTTCTGCAGCAGTTGCCTCAACCGTGGCTTTCGACCCCCAAACTCCCCCCAATGTTGTTATGCTTCCGCGCTCCCTCCATGGCATATTATGCCGACCCCCCTGGCAAAAAATGGTGGCCTCGCTGCTTGCTTGGCCTTAGCTGCACATAACATCTGATTGCTGAGAGTCAAGGTGGAATGCTTATGGCTCGAGTGACATGGGCAGGGGCCAACTATAATAGCACAACCGCACAGGACTGATCAATATTATTATCCGTGATAGGTCAAAAAAAGGTGATTTTATTTCCATTGCTTGCAAGAAACCTCGGGGAAAAAAATCACTGCCAACGAAAAACCCTCGTGGCCGAAAGTGTTTTGGCAAAAAAAAACATCAATTAACTTCTGTTGTCATAAATAATAATTCGGTTTTTTTCGTATAACGCTTTGTAGAATACTGTCTGCAGTCCGAGACATTAAACACCACTGCCAGTGAACACCTGATTTTCCACTACTGTGCTTTGATGAATGAGAGCTACACAATCTGGAGAGGAGGAGTCTCATTAAACATGTGCAAAATGGCACCTTTAAGCACTGCTTCAACTGAACTACGGGAGGGAACTTTTCTGCCAAAGAAGTTCTTAATGATATTGTGCGAGAGCGCGTGCTCATTATATGCTCCGTGTGCACGTTGTTTACACTTCAGAAGCTCCGGGAATCTTACGTGTTATTTGATGATTCCAGTTCAAGCAGAACTATTATAAGGGTGTCAAGTTCCCGAACGTGTTTTTCCAGTATGTTCATATAAAAACCCAATTCAGTTTCCCTGTGTCCGGCTTTCTATTCTCGAAGTGTGGCGATTACATTGCTGTCAACATGTTTATCCATCTTGTGTTTTTTTTCTCATAAAACAATGTGGTACTCTTTTTCTGCACCCATGTTGGGGGGCCTGGTCTACCAGACTGACTGCTTCGACTAATTCATAATGTGTTCAACCACCACACTGCAGGTCACAACACTTCTTGTTCTACTTATTACTGCTCAACTTTGGAATTTCCTCCCTACCCAACCCCCCCCCAAGTTATTTAGAACCTTGCTCAATTCAATAAAAGGCATTAACGACTTGCATAGGGTTTTACAGCTGCGCTGTATAGCTTCCCTGATCTATGTTCGGATCGTAGAGCATCTTGCTCGGCATGATGCCCGCGGTTCCACTCTACATGCTGGCGTTTTCTTCATCGACTCAGTTCTCGAAGATGCTCCCGGCACATGCAGCAAAACGTCAGACATCGTGCCCGGCAAAACACGTGGCACAATCCGAAATCAAATGAGAGAGCCAAAGGTATTAACTCTCATCTAACAACTCTTTTGGTTTGTTGTTCTTCCTCCGGCACCTCCGAATAGCATGATTGGCTACGAATGGCACGAACGAAGTTCAGCATAAACACATCTATTACACCTTCAATAGGGCTGCTTGTGGCATTTTGGGCCTTTGGGCCTGTGCTCAGCAACTGTTTATTGAATTTGTCAATGCTGTCGAGGTCGGGGCTCTTACCGGCGTGTGGGATGGCTCCCTCCAACTCGGGAAACTCTCGCGCGTTCACTTGCTCCCAGTCGAAGGTGTCGTCCGTGTCTTGGCGGTATCCACAGGCCCCAAAGTCATCCTCAAATGAACAGCTGCCTGCGATACAGAGAAGGAGCGGAATGGTAAAGGTGGAGCCCCGCAATAACTTTGGTCACACCACTGCCATCTGTGACCACAACCTCCAGGAGTGTACGGGTGGCCAATCTGTAAGAGACCAAGAGCCAACAAGTATCCATGAATTCTGCAATGAGCCAAGTGTGTGTGTGTATATATAGGCAGTTGTAGCACAGCATGGGAGACATTAATTATCCCTTGCTACTGTGATAGTCTGTGCTACGTTATGCCCCTTTCGATAGAGCCACATGTGGTGGATTAAAGAGTCGTGTGTGGCCAATTGGCCACAGCCTCCATCAGAAGCTCTTGCGAGCCTCGACGGAGAGTCTTTGGCTTATTCTTCCACGCTGCCCAGACATCTTGGAAAAAGTGGGAGTGCCCAATCCCACCACATATAACTGGCAATCAACTGTAGTGTACACATTGACGGTATACTGCTGAGTGGACAGTGGTGCGGGGGGGGGGTGATTTAAGAAACCTGCTTTTGTTTAAGCTGCCATGAACTGGCAACCTCTGGATTAGCACGTCCAGTGTGATAACCATAATACCTCTGCAGAATCCCAAGGAGAATAAACAAATGCCACAAACTGGGCCAGGAAGTGAGAAGAGATCGTATCTGATTTTACGTGGGGCTAGGGAGCATTGAGATGGGAATCCTATTGTTTGTGTTTCATCCACGCCAATGACGTCGTCTCATTTCAATTCACACCTCGGATTAGCACGGTTGGCTACATACGGTGCGAAATAAGTTAAACGTACATCCGTACAGAGTAAAAGCACACGTACATCCGTACAGACCACTTTCTGTTTCAGGCCACTCTTCTCTGCAAGGTATAGGCACAAAGGCTCGCGGTGGTAGGGCGAATTTGCCACTATTCTCGAGTGGCATCTCTTGCTCCATGTAAGGTTTCGCATAATAGGATGAATCATTGTGCCGTTAGAATATGATTTTACACAGACGATTTGGGGTACTGGAATGATAGTGAGTAAACGGATAGGAGACGTTTCCCTAGTATTTACCTTTGGGGGGTAGGTTGGGGCGGGCGGTCTACTAAAGTGCTTGCTGAAAAGTGATATTCGAGGTGTCATACTAGTTGGACCAAGGAGGCAGGGAACGAACAAGGCATGTGCGATATGCGGTCTGTTCTTTGCTCACACTAAGGCTGTAGCCATGTAAATGTTTAACCTTGCACCTGTGCGTAATCTCCAATGATTATGACGCTCGAATAAAATAGTTTTCTTTTTTGTCTCTCTTTCTCTGTCTAGCTTTCATTAATAATGCAATACATTCAAATGCAAATACAGTGCAATTCGCATTGCAAACAAGTGAACCTTGCCAATAAGTAACAAATCATTAATTGCAATTCAAGGTTACGTAATGAACATTTGCATTGTATCACTGCTCTTGATTAACATAACAATAATAAAGTCCCCATTGTGTACAGTGAATAGGCTACTCCCAAGTTAATTTAAATTGTGTTCTTTTGCAAAATAGTTTTGTTCAATTCGCCTTCATGCATACAGCATGTCCGTTGTAGTAGTAGAAATTTATAAGAAAACTTTACACTTTTCCACAAGAAAAATAAATTTTGCTTCCAAATTTTTTTTATATTCAATTTGTCATGGAGATGGCTGAAATGTCAGCTGTGCTTCCATGTCACTCGGAGACAATGAGACACCACTAGCTTCACTGCCACTCACGCCACCCCATCAGATGCACGCAACGAAACAACCTTAAAATGGTGACTCCAACGCCTCGAGGAAGAAGATTCAGAAGCATTTTTTTTTTATAGATTTTTGGAAGCATGTATTTTTGTCGAAGGAGGTAATAAGTGAATAAAGTAACTCGATACACTATCCAGCCAACCGCTAATGCATCTCGACTCGAAAGGATGGTATCAGCCCACATATCTTGATTGTGCATTCAACCCTGTAAAAGCATATGCACATCTGAGTGCCAGACGTCACCCATATGAGGAAATGGTCCTAAAAGACCTGCGTCTATTTGCTGTGTGGCCAAAGCACATTCCACTGAGCTAAATTTGAACAAATGTTCGGAGAGCTTGGTGAGCTCACATCAGGTAATATTCAATGCTGTATAAGTATATCAGATTGAGTCAGCATGTGCATTTTTAAGCAATGGGGCAGACAACGTCGCGTCAGCTCATAAATAGTATATTTTTTACTTGTTTCGGTGAAACCACCTTGTCGTGGTAACTTATGATTCATGAAATCATAGTTTTATATAAATATACACACACAGAAACACATATCGCACCCACACACATGCTGACAAACATACACACTCACATAAACACAGACCTAACAAGAGCCTACAGCTGTCCTTTCACTATATATGTGCTCTGTACATTTAAAACAATACGCTATTTGACTCTAGGCAATGTTTTAACAAGAGAGCACTCCTTGTCCCGCAAGGCAAAGATCTAACAAGCCACTAGAGACACAGCAGTTTCCCATTTGTTGGCCAACTCATTTCCACAAATCCTACTGAGGCACATGACTTTTCTATTGCCACGCACCTCAGAGTAGAATAACAAGGTCCAACCCATGCACACACACTCTCTCGGCTATGCACCGCATGCACGTGTCAAATTGTAGCAGCTTTACACCTGTGCTTCTGCAGTCCCAGTGAGACCCAGCTAAAGCATGTTGGGCAGGGACTTTTTGAAGGGCTGGTGTAATGCCATTTTAAACAACAATAATGAATAAATGTTTTAAGTAATTATAGGAATGGCGTTTAACTATCTTGGATGCAGTTTTTTTTTTTCCACGTTGAAACCTATTAGCCTCAGATTTGCAAGTTATCTGCGATAGAGTTTACCTCGTCCTAATGACAAATCTGCTGGCCAAAACAACTGTGCTATCTTATCTTTCTTCATCAGCGCATGTTGATTCTCCCCACTAAGTAGAGTGTATGTTCACTTAAAAGGTCACGGAGGAGAGGATATGCAGCCACTTCCTTATTCACAACAAACGTGACGAAGGAACAACCTGTCCTCAAAACATAAAAGTGAAAAATAGAATTTTCGCTCCCAAGTAGAAAAACTTATGACTGCCAAATTTGCCCGAGCAGATTGTTTTGTCTGTTATGCCTTACTTTTTGCTGCAATCCCGCCGAGAGCTTTACAAGAATAAAACCTCCATCGGGCTATCTTGTGTGTCTAACACCTTCCACACCTAACAGGGTAAAGGTTAATTAAATTGTTTCGGTGGTCAATATTTCATTTGAATCTATTAGCTTCGTGTTGGAAAGAGGACGTCAGGCAAAACAAAAAAAACAAAAAAATAACTCGTTTATTTGTTACTCCGAATGGGGAAAAAGTGACCAGGAAGCATGGAATCTAAGTCATGGCGCTATCGTGGCCCATGGACTTGGCCATCGTCGTTGAAACTCTCACATTGCGAGAGAAAAAAGAAGTACAAAATCACGCCAAAGTAAGCTACATCTGTTCGTTATTCTGAATGCTGACCTAAATAAGTGTGCTTCACTGTGCCCTGTTGAATGTTTCAATGCATCCATTGTTGTACCAGTGAGAGATTGAATGGTTCATTTTAATAGTATTTTTTTTACAGTACGTGTTGCTGGGTTTTTTTTCCTGCAAAAAAAGCGTCTCATAATTTAGATAATCACACCTCTTGCGACGCATTTATTTTACTGGAAATAACAGGGGTGTTTTTTTTTTTACGAAGTTAAAACCGTCATTTTTGTACCGCACACATTTTAATGTCTTCTTACTCCAACTCAAAAGGTGCAGCCATGCAATACCTTGCTCAGACCACTGTTGATGACAGGGCCTCCCCACCAGAGGGATCTTTAGAGAGCCCCTATTCAGAATATACATTGCCTACTCTTGGAACGCTGGTCAGGCATCCTGGAAGAGGTGGGGGTACCCGCACTTCATCCCACCACACGTGGCACGCCGATCGACCACCCGTGGCGATACCCATTTATATTGGTCAGCGGACAGAGGCCGGGAGAATTTAAGAAACTTGCGCCATTCTTTCAACTGCCGCGCTGAAAGATCGTTCAGGCGACCTCTGGGTGGCAGGTTCCTGCGCGCGAACCATTGCAGCCACGACAGCATGCCCGCATTTAGGAGCTAAGAACACACACGACACACAAACGATAGGGGAACCTCGTTCACAAATTGTCTGCTGATAGCTGCAACGTGACTTAAATGTGCTCACAAACTTTGGTCACGTTAAATGGAGCACTGCGCGACACCCATTTGTCGAACAAGCCAAGCGGACATTTGACTGATGTGATAACATGGGGGGGGGGGGGAGGAGGAAGAGTAGCAACAAGTCACTTTAATTGTAATGGTCAACTGGCAGTGCTGAAGTCTGTAATGGTATCGATTTGGATAACAGCCTTGCCTTTTGTAATTAAGTGACTCAAACATCTGGCGCCATCATTGAGTGTTTTCTTTGCTTGCAGGCATTCCCCGCACACGCAAATGCACGTGCACAGAGAGGAACAGACTCGCACGCATACATGCCCCAAAAACATGCCGTACGACGGGCTGGTCACACAGACAGAGGAGCAATTACCGTATGGCAATAAATCAATGTGAGGATGAAACGCTACAGCATCTGGATGGCCCTTAAAATGCGAGAGAGCGAGAGAGCATGCTGCAGAAAGCGCCGCCAGGACTTTTACATCCTGAACAAAGGGAGCGGAGACAAGTCAGTGGCACAAAACGCCGCTGAGACGCGAGCATGTGCCGCACAAGTGGAGGAGGAGAATTCACTGAACTTTTCAGCGCACTGGACTTGCAATCCGAAGGTTGCCAGTTCGATCTCCCAGCGCAGAAGTCAAAACGATGGACATTTTTCGTTTAAACAAGCTTGGCTCTCCAACACACCGGTGTGCTGTACTAGTGACGAATTGGCCACGTTCTGTTTACGTGACAACCCTTACTAGTTGGCTGTGTCGGGTGGTGGCGGGTTTAACGACACAT